TTTTTTTTTTTTAGTTTTTTTAATAGACTTTGCTAATGTCTAAAATATGTGGCAAGTTCATGTATAAAGAATTTAAAATATATATAAGTATATATATAAGGTATTTATAGTAATTTGAAAGTAATTCATATTCGTCAAAGCGTGATACATAATCCGCATACCTGGTTATATGACTACAAGTGTTTTTATTGCATGTCATATGCTGTCTTTTAACCTATATTTCAGCAAGTCACACCTTTGTCCTTGAGTCGTAAATGTAATGGCTCTGAATGCTGGGAAAGTTGACGTGTGCTTTCCAGCAGCTGTGCGTAGCATGTAGCCACCAAAACAGACGTTTAAGGCTCTCGAATTACCCAAAAACCTCAGATCCGAACGAGGAAGCGGTCTGCGGCTACTTTGAGTTCCTTTCAGGTGAAAAATTACAGCGATTTGACTTTCGCTTCTATAAATCGTCACTCTTGTCACTGTAAACTCATTCGCTTTCGCTTCTTTTCAAAAGCTGCTGCATTTCTCAGCATGTTTTGACCTGCAGGTGTTCCATTACATCAGCAACCCACAGTCACACCATCTGAGGTCAGAGACTCCGCCCACCCGCATTTGCATACAGAACAAGCAGCCGCTCCCATTGGAACACGACCGCAGACTGGAACTCTGTCCTCGGACCCGCCCACTCAATTGCATAAAGTGGAAGGGAGCCGCTCCCATTGGTTCAACCGCATCCCAGAGCTCTGTTCTAACCCAGCCCCCTCATTTGCATACAGAGGAAGGCAGCAGGAGCGCGGCCGCAGACCAGAGCTGTTTTTTAGACTCGCTGAGCAACTAGACTCACATTTTTTTTTTATGTATTTATTGCTTCTGGCCAAGCGTCAAACTCCAGCGTTATGGCTTGAGGCCAATTTTGTACACTTTTGAGGATGAACCGATCGTTGAGTTTACGATTATCTCGCAGGAATGGACATAATATCTACAGGTATGGTAGAATAGCACTTTTTATGTCATTGGAGTGGGTTTCCATTCAATGGGCTGCGTTCGGTGTGTAACTTTTTTAAATTTACTCGCAATTTCCAAGCGAAAATTGGTGCGGATTTTCCTTTGAAGGTTGTTTTTCAGTCCGTAGTGTTTATTCTTGAGTTTTTACTGCTGTGGTTGGGTAATCGAGGTCGGAGTGAAGTGCCGTTGGTGTGTTTTATAATATATTTGCATTGAGTCTGTTTAACCATTACACTCGAATCATCGCCTGAGAGAAACTCGTAAAGCTACACTGTTTGCTTGATCTGATGTCGTTATTCCTGCTATTGACCTTACTAAAGAAGAGAAATGCAGTGTATTGCGCATCTGTCTGTGTTTTATAAGCGTTGGCATGGCCTCGTAAACTCAGACGCTGTTTAAGGGTGAAGTTGAGCGGTGTGAGCGTCAGTTATGAGGCTGACGGTGGTTTTGCGATGTTTTCACAGCTATGTGGTGGATGCCGGGACGATTCCCGCCAAGGCCAAGAAGGGGAGGACGAAAGCCACGCTGGGGAGCAGGAAAGCATTCAGTTTGGAGGAGAATCAGCTGGAGGTTCAGCAGCAGACCAAGAGCCTGAGCCGGCAGGTCCCGCCCAGGTACGAGAGCGGTTGATTTGTGTTGTGTTGAACCAGTTCTGCCGCTGTAAAATTAGAGTAACCATTACTCTAATGGTAAATACGACACTGTTAACTGTTAGAAAACTGGATATGAATGGGTGGATGGATGGGTAAATAATTAAAATAAAAACTTTTTTATTATTTTGTTACTGTTTTTTTTTTTATGGCCTCCAATATCTAAAATATGTGATGTGTTCATCTAGACGAATAAAAATATTTTAAAAAGAAAAAAATACAAAAAAAAATTCACAAAATAATTGTATTAAATATTTATTTATTTATTTAGTCTATCAATATCTAAAATTGGTGTTTTTTTGTATAAAGAAATGTTTTAAAGAAAAAAATATTTATGTATGAAATAAAATGTGTGTGTCTTTAAAAAAAATAGTAGATACAATAAATTAAATACTTAAATATTTCATAAAATATAAATATTTTATGAAATATTTTATAATATAAAAATTATATTTATTTGGCAATCAATTATATCTAATGTGTTTTTGTAAAAAAAACAACAACTTTTAAATTAATTCAAATATAAATAGTTTATGAAATACTTTATCAATATAAAGATTATATTTAATTATTTAATATCGAAAATCTGTTTTTGTTAAAGTTTTTTTTAAATATATATATTTTTTAATTATACAATTTATTTTTCTTTTAAAAAGGTATGAATAAATATATTATATTAAATATTCTTTATATTATTTATAATATGTATTGTATTAAATATATTTGTTTATAATATTCTAAATGTATACTTTTTAAATAAAAATTTTAGGGCTTTGCCGATATTTAAAAAAAAAATTTAAACAAAAATAAAAACAAACATTTTCTCCACAACAAATTAAATAATATATAAAGTATTATAGCTGACGTTTTCATATATAAAGAAAAATCTAATTAATTTAAAGGGGGAAAAAAGATTATAAAATGTATTTGTTTTACTTCAAAACAAATTACATTTATATAAAATACATTTTGTATTTTAATATCATAAAGAAAAAAGCTGGATTTATTTGAAAAAGAAAAATTAATGTTAGTTTGTTTTTATTAAAGTTACATTAAAATATATTTTAATCTTTCAAAATAATCTAAAAACAAAATATATGTATACAATTTTTTTTAATTACTTGCTCTACCTTTTATTAGTATTAAAATGTGTGTTGTTTTATTGGCAGGTCTCACACTCTTGATGTCGACAGACCTTTGGAGAGAAGCGACAGCCTCAACTCAAGAAGTGTAAGACGACTTTTCATTCATCTTTTTGAAATCTAACATAAATAAAACATGTCTAAATTCTCATTTTCTTTCTTCTCAGAGTTTTATGAAGCACAACAAAACATTCCACAAACTCTTCCCAGAAATCCCCGAGACTGAAGACCTGCTGCACGGTGAGAGACTTGTACATTCACGTTTCTGTGACGTCTGAGATACAATAGCAGTGGCGTCACGCGTGTCTAATGCTGTGTTTGCAGCTTACGTCTGTGCGCTGCAGAAGGAAGTGCCTTACCACGGCCGTCTGTACATCACCGACAGCAGCCTGTGCTTCTTCTCCTCCGTGCTGCTCAAAGACACCAAGGTAAAGAGCCGTCCGATCCGCACGCATGCGCTCCGAGCTGCCATCAGACCCCAGGTCAACAGACCCATGTGTGTGTGTGTTTCAGGTGATCGTTCCTGTCGCCAGTGTGAACGTCCTGAAGAAACAGAACACCGCGCTGCTCGTGCCAAACGCCATCTCTGTCCGCACCACAGACAGAGAGAAGGTCTGAGCCTCAAACACTTTCACACTATTGAGTACATTGTCCTCAGAAAAATGATGAAAATATGAAAAAAAAATCATTAATGCTAATTAATACTTTTTTTTTTTTCAAATTATTTTTTTGTTGGGTTTTTTTTTATTCTATTTTTTTGTGAAACGTACTGATTAATATGGAAGCCCGTTTCCGCCACTGAATAAAAAATGAAAAAAAGGTTATTGTGACTTCTTATCTCACAATTCTGGCTTTTTTTCTCGCAATTGCGAGTTTATATCTCGCAATTCTTACTTTTTTTTCGCGCAATTCTGGCTTTTTTTTTCACAATTGCGAGTTTATATCTCGCAATTCTGGCTTTTTTTTTCTCGCAATTCTGACTTTACAACTCGCAATTGTGAGTTTATATCATGCAATTTTGAGAAAAAAGTCAGAATTGCGAGCTTATATCTCACAATTCTGTGGGAAAAAAAGTCAGAATTGTGAGAAAGTTGCAGTAACCTTAATTTTTTATTCAGTGGCGGAAACGGGCTTCCATAGATTAATGCTAACTATTTGAAGAAAAAAAATTATGTATTACAGTAATGTTTAATGATTAATTCCAATTAAAAAAAATTCATTTACTTTTTTTTTTTTTTAACTGATACATATTGATTAATGCTAATTAATAAAATATATTAATAAAAATGTTTTATAGTGAATTTTTTTTTTACATACTGATTGATGTCAATTACTAAAATTTATTTTAGAATTTTTTTTTTAAGTTAAACTAATTATTAATATAATTAATTCTAATTATTTAAAAAAATGTATTACAGTCATTTTTTAGTGATTAATGCCACTTAAAAAAAACATTTTACACATTTTTTACTGATACATATTGATTAATGCTAATTAATAAAATGTTTTACAGTGAATTTTTGTGAAACATACTGATTCATGTTAATTACTAAAACTTTTTAAAGTGAAACATACCAGTTAACGCTTATTAATTAATAAAAAAAAATGTAATGTATTGTTTTGTGAAACATACTGATTAATAATTACAAAAAAAAAAAAAGAATGACCAAAGTGAAAATGTTTCAACAGGTTACATTTAATACTTTGTCTTTTATAAAAGACAAAGCCTAAAAAAAAAAGAAAAATAATTGAAATAAGTTTCAGAAATTCTTGAGTTTTTATTTTTATTTTGAGATTTTATTTTCTTTCATTTTGAGATTTACTGATATTCAAATATGATTTTTTTTTATATTCATTTAGAGAATTACTTATATCTGTAGTATATTTAAGAATCATTTAATTCATTATAATTTTTGTTGTATTTTCTATGAATATATTTGTCCTCTGTCTGTGCTGCAGTATTTATTCGTGTCTCTGCGGAACAGAGAAGGCTGCTATAAGCTGCTGCGATCCGTCTGTCCTCAGCTGGAGGTGAGTGAGTGTTTGCTGACGTGATTTGACTGGTGTTCGTGTGTTTAACTGGCTCCTGACGTGTCGCCGCTCTCGTTCCCGACAGGACGGAAGTGCCCACAGCAGCCCTCTCTGGAGTGAGGCTCAGCGCTCGTCTGGATCTGTGCGTCTCTCCCAGCAGAACTCCAGCCAGTCCAGTCTGGACGACTCGTACGAGCTTTGTCCTCCGATCGATCTGTCTGCGTCTCGACTCACTCCAGGTTCGTAAACTCCCCGCTGAACGTCTCACAGCTGCGTGACTCTGAGAGAAAGGTGTTAAGATACTGTGTTTGCTTCTGCGTTTCAGAAAACGCTGCGATTAAAAGCTCCCCGCAGACGCCAGACGAGAGCTCGAGTGAGGAATACACCGGTACGGCACGCGCCGGCCTGCAGATCTGAATGACTCGGAGGGATAATGCGTTTGATTGGCTAACGCAGATTCTGCTTCCTCTCTCCACAGGAAGTTCGTGGGTTTGGAACGTGACTGATCGAGCGCGATCTCTCCTCATCCAAAGAGAAATCAGCAACCTCAACACTCTGCTGCTCATCTACTTGATCCTGTGAGTGTTCATGCCACGGCTTTTAGCTGGAATGCGCTCGTCTATTTACAATTTCACAGTAAATATTTACAATATAATAAAAAAGTAATAATAATTCATTACATTTATATAGCGCTTTTCTAGGCACTCAAAGCGCTTTACATTGTCAGGGGGGTCAGGGGGTCCACCACCAGGTTAACCAGGTTAATGAACAGGTTTGACTACTTTAGTAATTTCCATGAGTACAAATGTTAAAGGGGTCATATGACGTTGCTAAAAAGAACATGCTCCTCATCTGCAAAATATAGTGACAAAAATATTGGCTAAAATATAAGTATTTAAAAATATTTACCAAAAATTAAAAAGTGTTATGCAAATATTTAAAAATATATATGAAAGGAAAAATATTTTTAGTATTTTAACATTTAGTATTAAAAATATAATCTTACTAAAAAAAATTATCAAAGATTTACTAAAAAGTTATAAATGTTATACAGCTTTACAGCAAATATTTACTAAAAATAACATCTAAAACTTTAAAATATTTTATAAATGTTAGTAAGATCATTTATAGAATATTTATAAAAATGTTTACTTGACCTATTTATGAAGTACTTGATGATTTATGAATGTTATAAAAATATTTAGTAAAAACAAATATTTAGTTCAAATATTTGCTAAAATATTTAGATCAATGAATTTTAGTACAAAAAATTAAATAGAATATGCATCAAATATTTACTGAATTATAAATGTTATACAAATATTTACTAGAAGTAACAAATGTGTGAAAATATTTTAACATATTTACTGAAAATAATTTGACACCTTTCAGGGCTCCGGACTGCGACTAAAACGGTCAAAATATTAATTTGCAAGTGAACTTTTTGCTGGCGACTACATAAATGTACATGTTATGACTTACAAATGTGCCTTTTTTTCTTAATTGTTTTGCGATCATGTCTTTTATGTTGACGTAATAAACCGAGAGGATACGCATCAAAGTTTTAGTGGAGAAAAGACTTTGAAACAGTCCTCATCTCTGCTGAGCGCCAGCGCTGACGGCACACCTGCTAAAAGCAGCTCTAGTTGTGCAGCGTGAGAGTTCGAAAATGACGGCGACGTACGAATATTGCATATTCACATTTTTACTTAACCTGTCGTCTACATAAGAGAATACAAGAAGCTAAAGATAAAGTTCAACACCTCCTATTTAACTGCATGTTACTAATGAAGAAAACCAGACTGGATGTGTGAAAGACGCACAGGGTTGCCAGGTTGTCACAAAAAAAAAACCTGCCCAATTGCTACTCAAAACTAGCTCAATGGCGTTTCGAGGGGGATCCCCCCGGTTAAAAAAAAAAACAGGTTCCGGGGTTTTTTTGGCGGGGTTCCCCAGTTATAAAATATTTTCCAAAACTTGATTTATAAAATGTAATAAAGTTTACTAAAAATAATGTATGGAATATTTACTGAAATCATTTCTAAAGTCTACTAATATATCCCCGGTTAAAAAAAAAAACAGGTTCAGGGGTTTTTTTGGCGGGGTTCCCCAGTAAAATTCGCATTGCAGGAGCTACATATCACGTTATTGTGGTCTCTTTAACCAGCGGACATGAGAAACAACCAGCGGCAACAGTGTTAAAGTATCCCAATTACGCGGAAAAACCCCAGACTTGGCAACACTGAAGACACATGACAACTGATTTATAGGACGCATTGAGGAGAGGAGCCCAAACTACACTCGATGGCCAAGTGCTGTTGACATTATGCTCCGTGACATTGGCACAGATTCTGTGTAATAAACAATTCTCAAGTTGGAAGAGACATTTAGTTCCCAAGTGAACTTTAGTTCCCAGGACATCTACAAGATGTATTAAAATGCTGATAAACGCATAAAAAGATGAGACATAAACACATGGCAGTATGACTGAAATGTTAGTGTTAAACTAAAAATAAAACATGTTTATTCTGTGGCACCTAAAAAAATAATTTGTTGCCTGGTTGTGTTTCTTATATGGAGGTTACTTCTGTTATATTGGTGCATTTAATTTCATATGACAAACTGTGATTGATTTTAATTTGAAAATTACTTTTATTAAATAATCAAGTAGTACCTGTCCTGTCAGTATAGACTGAAATATCTATATTGCTTCACCCATAGTATTAGTGACAGATAATCATGAGCTCAGTGACTAGATTCAGCGTGGCTCTAGTTGGGAAAATATAAGTGGTTGCCAGGCAAACGAGTCTCATCTTGCATACATCTCATGCAGCTGTAAGGGAATGATATTGTTATTGTGATGTGAGACGCCCTGATACTACACGTGCGTTTAACCGTACGCCGAGATCGTTTTGTTGTGTAAAGTGACGTGTTTTTGTGTCGTTTAGGGTGTTTCTGCTCTTGTTGTCGTCTGGCTATATCGGCCTGCGTATCGTGGCCTTAGAAGAGCAGCTGACGTCTCTCGGAGCGCTTCCCGAATTCACCTTGCAAAGCGGGTAAATGGTGTCATGTTACATTGATATTTCTGCAGGTTTAAAACCCAAAGCAGCATCAGAAAATGACGTTATTTTTTTTTGTTCTTTCAGGTACAAAGAAACGTAAGAGGATCTCATCCATCAGAACTTTGGAAAGAACCACCAAAAATCGTTTTTAATGATCCACTAGCCGCCGCAGGGAATGCTGGGAAGGACCTTTATTTGCACATGCACCAGCTACCGAACTTTGTGCGTCTTTGCCAAGAAAACCTCCAAAGGGAATGCGCTTTACGAGACGCAACGCGATGTTGGTGTTGACGAAACGCGAGCATGTCTTCGCTCGCAGCCATTCGGTTTGTGTTAGCGCTGCAGCGACTCGCCCAAAAACAACCAAACACAACAGGTTTGTCGCGTCGGACTGTCAAAGACAACAAAAACAAACTACTTCTGTGGAAAAGCATTTCAATCTGTTATTACTCATTGCAGCGCCTTCGTTTGACCACTTTTACGACCATCAAAAAAAGTCGCAAAGAACTCATTTTTATTTTCTTCCTAAGTTCCTTATTTTTGATGGCTGTCTTTTTCATCAGTCTTTCGGTTTCTTCCTCTTACGTTTTTTCGTACAAAGGTTGCAATATTACTGGTTTCAATTTAATTATTAAAAAAACTAAGCTAGTTAAACAACGCTTACTCATTGCAACACCTTTGTACCACTTTTATCGATCAGCAAAAATAGTCGCAAATAACTTTGTCATAAGGTTTTGCGATATTACTGGTTTCGGTTCAACGATAAAAAGAGCTAAGCTAGCTAGCCAACTCTTACTCATTGCAGCGCCTTTGTTTGACCATCAAAAAATGTCACAAATAACTTCCATCCATTTTTCGTTCGTTCAGCTTTCGTCCCAAGTTCCTTATTTTTGATGGCTAGCTTTATCTTGGTCTTCTTTCGGTTTCATTCTTCCTCAATGTTTTTTGTATAAGGGGTTGTGATATTCCTGGTTTCATTTTAACGATAAAAAAAGAGCTAAGCTAGCTAGTCAACCCATTGCAGCGCCTTCATTTGACAACTTTTATGACCATCAAAAAAAAATCATGAATAACGATGTTGTATAAGTGGTTGCGATATTACTGGTTTTGGTTTAACGATAAAAAAGAGCAAAGCTAGCTAGCCAGCCCTTAGTATTATTGTATGTATAGTCTATGCACAAGAAATGTTCAGATCAGGTATTTAACAAGTTTTTGTAACGTTTCTTTTGTCTTTTTATACTTTAAGGAGATGAAGTAGTCGACATGTTGGTCTTTTTGTAATCCGAACGAAAAAAAAAGAACGAAAAAAAAAAGATTGTATTGTGCAAGAAGAGATGGATGTGGTTATTGTTAAACGTCCGATTTGCGGCTAAAGCCAAGCATGCATGTTTGCGCAAACCCAAATGGAGCATTTCCATTCAGGACTCATAACGAGACTAATAGCGATACTTGACGAAAATGACGTGGTCCAAAATATGCATGATTTTTGTGTGTGTGTGTGTGTGTGTGTGTGTGTGTGTTCGTAAATGTTGCAATATGTTCAGGAGATGAGAGATGTGTAGCCGTTCGAGTGCACTTTATAGTGTGGATACGCTCTCCAGTCCTGAAGAGGGCGCTATATTGAGGGTCTGGGGCATTGGATGGTGCTAAGAACCTCTCGCTCAGGGCTGGGACTGATTTGCAGTGCATCATGGGATTACTGCACCTCAGTTTTGGTATCTTGGTCATCTGCTGGCGGACTCGCTCTGCTGGTTTTCAGTCCGCAGATGCTGGTGGAATAAACACGGATTGACTGCAAATTTCCTGGGAATTTCTTGCGTGAATGAATGCATGCTTTTTTCCTGAAATGGAGATTACTTGTTGGACTGATCCGTGCAAATGGATTTACACAACATTTCATCCAGTCGCCGGGACGTCGCAGCCTCAAAGTCCCCTGAACAACTGTCTAATAACCACAATGCAAGAATCCCAACTTTAATAATTGGTTTATATTGCACTATTAAAGTGTTATTGTTTTTGTATCAATAAGGTCTATTTATTGCCTAATGTGTAATTCAAAGTAGTCTCTGTGAGACTGGCTTTGGCATTGTTTGAATAAATCAAGTGCTAAGGAAATGCAGTGTCTCCAATGTTTTAGTTCCCTCGAAGTCTGATCTATATTTATCGCTACTGGAATTTGTTTATGCGACTTTCAGGATGTCCAACTTTTGTTGCAGGCAGAGATAATCAGATTTATGCATTAAACAGCCACTTTTTTCTGACTCTAAAATATGGAAAGTTAAGTCAGTGAAAGTCAAAAATGAAAGAGTGAAAGCTTTAAACTAATCTTCATTGGTCGCGCTGTATGTTCGGATTCACTTAAAAAGAACCGGTTCAAACGAGTCATTAGTTCAGGAATCAATTTTCACTGGTTTCTCTTTTTTATTTATTACAATTATAGACATACATTCACAACAAATACAAACCAACCAAACGGAAAATAAATAAATAAATGAACACCTTACACAAAGGAAGAATACAGAAATACAGTTTTCATAGCTTCAAGATTGACAGAACTTTGGATAGTTGACATATACTTGTCTAAATCAACTTTGAACACTGAAAAGAGAGGTTTAGAACCAGTAAACATTTGCTTATGAATGTGAAATTTAGCAATTTATTGTCAATTTCCCTGTATTCTCTTTTGAGTAGTCAAGCAATCCAAAGAAAGCAGCTTTAAAACAAACAAAAAGTCACTTACATAAGATTGGATAAGCATTCAAAAATGTGGGAACATTGCCAAAACAAATGAATGAAGTCTTCTTCAGAAGAATCACAAAAACTGCAATTCACTTCAATGTCTGACTCATATTTTCTAAGAAAAGCTTTAGTAGGGTAACATTTAATTATAAATCAGCTTCAATGTTATACTGGTCGCTCTGTTTGGAATCACTAGAAAGAGCCGGTTCATAAGAGTCATTAGTTCAGGAATCAATCTTGACTGGTCGCGCTGTTGATTCTGTAGTATTGCACAGTAACGTGCAACTGCATGCAAATATATTTTGTGTCTTGCCTGTGTTCATTATTCAAATTAGTCAGTACCTCTGCCAAAACTTATCTTTTTATGAGCCCGTCAAACCCGTACACACCCAAACCGCTCAAAACTGATTTGAATGTTAATCTGGTAAGTTTTTAGGCATCCAAGCAAGGAGATGCACATTAATGGAAGAAACCAAGAACACTGCAATTTTGGTGTTGCAGGGGCGTTCACACGGACAGCACAGCGAGACGAATCTCATTCCCATCGTGACAGAAAAGCGTGTTTGTGTGATCCAGTCGCCATATTTAGGGATATTTGCAAAACGTGTCATATTTCTCTCTTCAGTGTGTCTGGAAAAGCTAATGCAAGCTGATGCATGACCCGTTATTTAGGACTCATACAGAGTAAATAAAGCTTTAAAGTTAACGGTATTGTGCTTGAGTCCATCAGTTTTCTCCAGATTTAATCAGGTACAAGCTGTGCTTGTGAAAAGGTAAGAGAATTTTGTCTACTGTTGGAGATTCACATTGCTTATCTTTGCTTTCTTATGTTGTATGTGGGTTTGACTGTTTAAATAAGCCGTTTCTTAGAAGGTTCATCATTATCTGCCCTAATGTAATTTAAAACCTCAACAAGAGATACTTAACTGTATGTTCTGGCTTTGCTCTTCCAACAAATGAGGCAAAAGCATCATACAAACTGTTGCATGACTTTTCAAAGACTTGGAATACAATCTTAAAAATAAAGGTGTTTTGCAGTGATGCCATTTTTGGTTCCCCAAAGAACTTTTTAGTGAACTATGAAAACCTGGTAATTGCGACTTTTTATTTCATAATTCTGACTTTTTTTCTGAGTTTATGTTTCACAGTTCTGACTTTTGCATGATAAACGTGCAAATCTGAGAAATAAAGTCAGAACTGCAGGATATAAACTCTCAAGATAGTCTTTTAATTTCCTCAAAATTGGACTTTACAACTCGCAATTGGGAGTTTATATCTTGCACTTCGCAATGGTGCTAAATAAAGTCAGAATTGCAAGATATAAACGTGCAATTGTGAGAAAAAAGTCAGAATTGTGAGAAAAAAAGTCAGAATTGCCAGATATAAACGTGCAATTGTGAGAAAAAAGTCAGAATTGTGAGAAAAAAAGTCAGAATTGCCAGATATAAACGTGCAATTGTGAGGGAAAAAAAAGTTAATTTCAAAATATAAATTTGCAATTGTGAGAAAAAAAAAAGTTAATTTCAAAATATAAATTTGCAATTGTGAGAAAAAAAAGTCAGAATTGCGAGAGACAGAATTGCAAGATATACACTGCAATTCTGAGAAATAGTCAAAATTGCGGCATATAAACTCTCAATTGTAAGAAAATAGTATTTTAACTTCCTCCGAATTGGACTTTACAACTCGCAATTGGGAGTTTATATCTTGCAATTCGCGATTGCGAGAAATAAAGTCAGAATTGCAAGATATATACGTGCAAATCTGAGAAAAAAATCAGAATTGCAAGAAAGTCAGAATTTATATAAACTTGCAGTTGTGAGGGAAAAAAAGTTAATTTTAAGATATAAATTCGCAATTGTGAGAAAAAAAAGTCAGAATTGCGAAAGAGCCAGAATTGCAAGATATACACGCGCAAAAGTGAAAAAAATTGAGTCAGAATTGTGAGATATAAACTCGCAATTGTGATTAAAAAGTCAGAATTTCGAGACAGAAACTCACAATTGTGGGGGAAAAAAGTCAGAAGTGCGAGAAAATCATAATTGCAAGATAAACTTGCAGTTGTGAGGAAAAAAGTCAGAATTGGGAGTTTGTATCTCACTATTCTGACTTTTATTTCTCACAATTCTGACATTTTTCTCAATTGTAAGTTTATATCTCACAATTCTGACTTCTCGCAATTGCGAATTGCAAGAAATTCAGTGCCTGTCAATAACCTTAAATCTTTGGTTTTGCTAACTGATTTTGGATTTCAAATCATCCAATTTCATTTCCCACAGGTTGAAGATGTCCAACTGCACCCTCAAAATCACCACCACAGTCGAGAACCTACAAAAAGTCACTTCCATTCCCACCTTCATTTTCGGGGTCCTGGGGAACATTTACGTCTTGGTGATGTTCTGCCGCCGTTCCAGAGCAAAATGGACCTACATGAACGTCTACATCACCAACATGGCCATCGCTGACTGCGCTCTGTTGACGTTCCTGCCCGTTAAGATTCATTACTACAGCAGGCCATTGGCAGAGCATTTAAAGGCACTGTGTAATTTAGTTTTGTTGGTTTATTACGTCAACATGTATGTGAGCATCTTCATCATCACGGCCATAAGCGTGGTGCGGTACGTGGCCATCAAGTATCCCATGAAAGCCAGGAATATCTTCTCTTGCAGGAACGCTCTGGTGGTTTGCGCGCTCATTTGGTTCACCATTTGCTCCATCAGCCCGGTTTACTTCGTTACGGACTCCAATAACGACAAGACCATGTGCTTCCAGAGGGTCAAGGGAGCATTGTCGTTGCATTTCGTTTTGTTGTTGGTCATCGTTGGATTCCTAGTGCCGTTCCTCATCATGCTGTTCTGCTCCGTTAGAGTCGTTTGCACTTTAAAGAAACAGTTGGACGTCGGATCGCGTTCTGAGAAGATCCAATGCATGTTTATCATCGTGGCCAATTTAGTTGTTTTCGTCGTATGCTTTCTCCCCGTCCACTTGGGTTACCTCGTTAAATACATCGTGCAAAACAAGTACGCAAACACAGACGATAACGAAAGCTGCTACTATAAACTGGTCGCGCACAACTTCCTGCACATTGCTCTTTGCTTTTCCAATATGAACTGCGGTTTGGACTGCTTTAGCTATTTTTTCGCAACCAAAACGTCCTGGAATATGTGCTGCATGAATGACACTAACAATAAAGAAGGTGAATGTGATTACAACACCGTTTCGGATGCAGTTAGTACGCCAACGTAATTGTTTCGACTGGGTTTTGTTTTATTACGTGGTTCCTTTTTGAACGTTGTATGCACTCTGTACTCATAAATAAGGGTTGCAGTTAGTGCTGGGCGGTATACCGGTTCATACCGAATACCGGTGTTTATTTTTGTTATGAAAGTATCCCATGAAGGCCAGGAATATCTTCTCTTGCAGGAACGCTCTGGTGGTTTGCGCGCTCATATGGTTCACCATTTGCTCCATCAGCCCGGTTTACTTCGTTACGGACTCCAATAACGACAAGACCATGTGCTTCCAGAGGGTCAAGGGAGCATTGTCGTTGCATTTCGTTTTGTTGTTGGTCATCGTTGGATTCCTAGTGCCGTTCCTCATCATGCTGTTCTGCTCCGTTAGAGTCGTTTGCACTTTAAAGAAACAGTTGGACGTCGGATCGCGTTCTGAGAAGATCCAATGCATGTTTATCATCGTGGCCAATTTAGTTGTTTTCGTCGTATGCTTTCTCCCCGTCCACTTGGGTTACCTCGTTAAATACATCGTGCAAAACAAGTACGCAAACACAGACGATAACGAAAGCTGCTACTATAAACTGGTCGCGCACAACTTCCTGCACATTGCTCTTTGCTTTTCCAATATGAACTGCGGTTTGGACTGCTTTAGCTATTTTTTCGCAACCAAAACGTCCTGGAATATGTGCTGCATGAATGACACTAACAATAAAGAAGGTGAATGTGATTACAACACCGTTTCGGATGCAGTTAGTACGCCAACGTAATTGTTTCGACTGGGTTTTGTTTTATTACGTGGTTCCTTTTTGAACGTTGTATGCACTCTGTACTCATAAATAAGGGTTGCAGTTAGTGCTGGGCGGTATACCGGTTCATACCGAATACCGGTGTTTATTTTTGTTATGATATGAATTTTTTAAAATACCGCCATACCGGTGTATGTCGCTTAAACAACGTTCGGAACGCGACACTGTGGTGAGGAAACTGCTGTATGTGTTACTAAGCATGAAAGTTCCGAAACTGAAGCTGTAGAACTAACAGAACGTGATGACACAGAAGAACTCATCCACAATATCCACACTGACCGCCACAAATATCCACCGCCCCCTGCCATCAGCTCCCGCGTCTCACACACACGAGCGCGACTTTAGCACTAGATTTAGCAACTTTCAGACCCTTTTAGTGGCTTTTTTCATAGAATATACATACTGACAAACCTAGCGACTTTTTGGGATAAACCTTAGCCATGGTTCAGTTGGAAGATTTCTCCAGTGCTGTCCCGCGAACGCGAGGTCTGACTTTCCCGGAGAAGTGTCGCCTCTCTCGGCGTCTGTTCTGTGCAGTGAGCGGCAGAGAAGCAGCTCATTCAGTTGGCTGCACCGCAGCCGACTCATCAATAAACGAGTACAAAACAGAGTTTCCAAGCACCTGTCGCTTACTGATTGTTTGGAATTATAAATATGAGCGTAGTTCGTCTGTTAATATCACATGCACTTTTTTGTTTGTTGTTTATTTTTAGTCACTCAGACTCAGGCAGTGCGCTGCATGAGACAAAAAAGTAATATAGCCAAAACAACCGCATAGGCGCTCTTTAGTGTAGATGCATGTTGATTTTATCAGACGATAGACGATGCCTAAATGAGAGTAACTCCTGGTTAACATGTATTAAAAGGGGTCGTGTTCAGTCACTATTTACTATTTAGTTTTTTGACAATATTCACTCATCATAGGGCTGGACAATAATTCAATATCAATATGTATCGCGATATAATTTTTCTCAATAACGGTGATATGATTTTTAAACACATTTCCGATATTTCGATATACATTACCAGTTTCCCATACACTGATTTATTTGTGCCGTTTGACTTCGTTGAATAAACATGAGCACTGCACGTTTCAAAATCATAACACGGCGCGGGTGTTTTATATGAATGTATCTCTGAACCGACTGTCTTCAGAAAAGTTTCGATGGCATTTTCATTTGATCTGATAAAGTAGCATTCATGAGCGGAGCTGCTTTGATTACAGCCATTACTGGAGAAACCGCTAGTTTTATCACT